TGGGGAGGGGGCTTCCTGTCCCCATCAGTCATGGACACATGTTGGGAGAGTTGTGGCTAAGCCATCTTTTTTTTTGGGGGGGGGAAGGGGTTTATTCAGGGTGCCTAATGGTTCCTATGAGATTTTGATTACTCTGGAGGATGGCTAAATTTACATGGTCCTTGGGGCTTGCTAATATATTTTTTAAAATACCTATATGAATAAGTGTAACATTTAAAATATAGATACATGGTTTCTGAATAGTTTCCTTGTTTTTTTCCTTTTCAGTTCTTTGCTGTTGTGGAGCTTCTCCAGTTAGGCCAGCAATATTTTTTTCTTTCCTTTCCTAATAATTTTTCCCCCTCTGGCCATGCTTCAGTGGCCTTTTTTTTTAAAGCAATCCCTATGTAGGCTTTGCATCTAGGAATGATTTTTTCTTTCTCTTCCCTTTCTTCTTTTAAAAAATCAAGTTGCCTTAATAGCTTGCAATACTTTTATAACTGATTTAGAGAAGAAGAAAATATCTGCAACCTTTTTCTTTCTCTCTTTCAGTTTCTGGCTGGGCCTTATCTTGATTTCTCCAAGCCACCATGCCTGGTGAGAGGTGAGTTGCATATTTGTCTATGCTCCACCCTTCTGAAACCTGGTTTCTGAAACTAGGCCCTTTGCTGTCTTCAGTAAATTAGAAAGACATTTTCTGACTCCAATTCAATAATGAAGATTCGGCTTATTGTTAGGTGTGGCTCCTCCCTTTTCTCCTCCCTTGCTTTATTTCACTTTTATCCCACCTTGATTACTTTATAATCTCTCCTCCTCCTATTTTCCCCACAGCAACCCTGTGAGGTGAGGTAGGCTGAGAAGGTGACGGGCCCAAGGTCACCCAGCAGGCTTTTATGACTAAGGTGGGGCTAGAACTCACCATCTCCTGGTGATTGTCCCAAAGTCACCCCTCTGGCTTCCAGACATAAGTTAGGACTAGAAGTCACCATCTCCTAGTTTCTAGGCTAGCACCTTAACTATGCTGATAGGAAGATGATTAAGTAAGGTCTATTTATTTATAAACAAATGACTGAGAGCCCGCCTCCTGCCAATTACCTCCCTGAGACCTTTTAGATCGCACAGATTAAGCCTCCTCCGGATTCCATCTGCTGGTCAGTGTCGGCTGGCAACTCCCCGGGGGAGGGCCGT